GGAACCGAACTCACGACCTTGCGCTTGCCAGGCAGGCGCTTTTTGCCGCTGAGCTAAATCCCCAGCCCCCACATTTTTATTCTTTGACAGAGGGAGAACAGGCCCAAGGTCAGAACTTCTGAGAGACAGAACTTATTAACATTGTTTCCATCATGTCTATTTTAACTGATTTGGATAACAAATGACCTTAGTTTTTCTTTTATTCTAGGATGCAAATGATGCCTTTTCTTAAATACATTTAACTTATTTTAAAGTAAATTTAAAGTCCATGTTCCATATTGTCTTAGTTACTTTTCTCTCGATGCTGGGACAAAATACCCGACACCCAAAGTCAAGGAAGCAAAGGTTTATTTAGCTCACAGTTTGTGGAGGTTTCAGTCCGTAATCAGCTGGCTCCAAAGCAGGGTGGAACGGCACGGGGGAAACAGTTCAAGGCAGCAGAAGACAGCAAAAACAACACGAGCAAAAAGGGAGAGCAAGCTTCTCTTCCTCCCTTTTATTGCATGTGGGCTACCCACCCCTGCCCTCCGGTGGGTGTAGCTCTCACACCATCTCCTCACCCTCCTCTTGCACAGGCTCAGGATGTTTACAAAGTGAGAACCCTCAGCCCCTGCTGAGCCACTTAGTTAAACTTCTAGACTCCTCAAGTTGATGCATTGTATCAATCATACATAAGTAATGGTTCAGGTAGATTTGGCTGGTTTAGCATAGTCCTGGGTGTGGACAAAGGGAAGGCTCAGCCTGGGTGTGGGTGGCACCAACCAAAGGCTTATAGCTTGAGTGGGATAAAAAGGGCAAGAAGGGAGGCTCGTTCCCTCCTGCCTGCCCTGCCAGGGACTGTTCCTTCTCTGCCATGCCGCCCTGCCTTGGAGCCAGCCAACTATGGATTTAAACCTCTACAGACCGTGAGCTGAAATAAACCCTTCCTCTTGTAATGTTTGTATGTAAGGTATTTTGTCCCACAAAGTGAAAGTAACTCAGACATTTGATGTAATAATAATCAAGAAGAAACCATCTGAAGATGCAAGTCTGGGGAGCATTCTTTTCTGTGTGCTCTCGTCTGCAGATTCAACCAAGTGTGGATCAAAAATACTCAAACAAAACTGCATCTGTACTGACCTGACTTTCCTCCTTGCCATTATCCTCTGAAAAAATACCTGTAAAAGCTGTTTTCATAGTATTGACATCCTAGTAGGTATTATAAGTCATCTAGAGATCATTTTAAAGTACATGGGAGACATGCCTATGACGGTGCACACCTCTAATCTCAGCACTCTGGGAGGCTGAGGCAGGAGGATCGCAAGTTCAAGCCCAGTTTGAGCACCTTAGATTTTGTCTCAAAATTAAAAAAAAAAAAAAGTCTGGGATGTAGCCCAGGATGAAGGCCCTAGGTTTAATTCCCAGTAGTGCAAATATCAGCAGCAACAACAATAATAAAAACAATAATAAATTAAGTGTGGCCTTGAAACTGAGCTAAACCCAAGTACTGATCTATGTGTTTGTTATAGGCATCCACAAAATGTAAATATTATTACAGCAGATTTGTGGGCTTGAGGTTAGCAAGGGCAGAGATCTCAGAGATATTACAGGCTAGGTTCCACATGGCCGCAATAAAAAATGAATATTGCAATAAAGCCAGTCGCATGATTTTTCGTGTTTCGTAGTATGTATAAAAGTTATGTTTATGCAATACTGCAGCCTATTAAGGGCTCAATAGCCTCACATCTAACATAGCAAGGTATGTCTCTTACTTAGAAAACACTTCCTTCCTAAAAGATGTCAGCAACCCTCTGAGCCGTCAGCACAGTCTGTTCTCTGGTGGAGGGATCTGCATTTTTTGCTGAGGGTGGAGGTTGCTGAAGGTCAAGGTGGCTGTGGCAGCTCCTTAAAATAAAGCCACAAAGAAGTTTCCCTCACCATTTGACTTTTCCTTTCGAGAAAGTTGCTCTGGAGCCTGTGACGCTGTGTGAAAGCTTTTTACCCACAATGTAACTTCCTTCCACATTGGAATCCATATTCTCAAAATCTGTTCCTACTTTACCAACTAAATAAAGGGCAAGGAGAGAGACAGGAGAACGACTGGTCCGTGGAACAGTCTGAACAGTTATTCTGTTTGCCATCTTGTTTGGATGTGGCTAGTGGCTTCCAAAACAATTAGAATAATGACACCAAAGATCACTAATCAACCTGGGCATGGTGGCACATGCCTGTCACCCCAGTACTGTGGGAGGCTGAGGCAGGAAGATCACAAATTTGAGCCCAGCCTTGGGAACTTAGTGACTTAGGGAGACCCTGTCACAAAAAAAAATAAATAAATAAAGAATAAAAAGGGTTGAGGATATAGTTCAGTGCAAAGACCCTGGGTTCAATCTTCAATAACAAAATTAAGTGTCATAAAATAAAATAAGTACAGTGGTCCTAGGAGGTCTCTCAACAAAGGGGATCTTTCAAACAAAGACATGAAGAATGTAGCGAAGTTTCCTCTGGACACTGGGGTGGATTTGTTTCCTTGGGTCACCAAAGCAAAGTCTCTGGGAGCTGGTTTTCCATCACTGTAACAAAATAGCAGAGAAGATCAACTTACAAGGAGGAAAGGTTTATCTTGGCTCTTGGCTCCTAAGGTTGCAGTCCATGGTCTGCTGTCTCCATGGCTTTTGGGCCTGTGGCAGGGCAGAAACATCACGGTGGGAGGGGATGGTGGAGGAAAACGGCTCACCTCATGTGACCAGGAAGCAGAGAGGGGGAGAGGAGGGGCCGGGACCCCAACAGCTCCTTTGAGGGCACAGTCCCAGTCACCTTCCCCTAGGTCCCAGTTCCTAAAGGCTCTCCACCTCCAGCAGCCCCACAGGCTGGTGACCAATTCTTTAACACATAGGCTTTGGCTGAGGTTCAAGATTTAAACCATGGCAGCAGTGGAAATTCATTTTATTTTAATTTTTTCACAATGAGTGCTCTGGCCCTCCCTCTCCCTCCTCCTCTTTCTTCTGCCTCCCTCCCTCTGCCTCTGTTGCAGCCACAAGGGCTCCCTTGTTGTGCCCCCAACACACAGGGCTCTGTCCTACTTCAGGGCCTTTGCACGGGCTGTGCACCCTAAGTTCAGGGACAACTCAAGGCTGCATTCTGGGGAGGACGGTGGATAGGAAGTTGTTTACCATTCATTCTTTAGAATCGCGGGGAACTCAGAGAGCTGATCTCAGCGGGACACAGGATGAGCTGATCTTGGGCAAGTACAAGGAAAGGAACGCTTTTCAAAAATCAGAGCCAGGGGGCTGGGGATTTAGCTCAGCGGCAAAGTGCCTGCCTGGCAAGCACAAGGTCGTGAGTTCGGTTCCCGGTACCGGAGAAAAAAAAAAACAAAAAACCAAAAAACAAAAAAAATAATAATAAAAAATCAGAGCCAGGTACCCAAAGGCCAGCACAGTGTCTGTGCCTGACTGCTGTATTAACTAAAGACTTTGGTTGCAAGTCACAGCAACCTGATACAACCAGCTTGAACAAGAAAAGGAAAAAGGAACGTGTTGGCTCATGAAATAGAAAAGCCCAGGGCATTTCCTACACATGGACTCATACAATATTTGGTGTCTTTTACTTAGCAAACTGTTCTTAAGGTTACATTGTGGCATGTATCCGTACCTCACTCTTTTTGATGGCTGAATAATCTTCCATTGTGTGGATATACCACATTTGTTTCTTTCTTAGTGATTAATTTTAGGTTTGCTAAATTTTACCATAGTCAACACAAAAACTGAGTCAAGACTCGGGACTCAGTTCTAGGGCAGAGCACTTGCCTAGCATGTATGAGGCCCTGGGTTCCATCCCCAGTACCAGAAAACAAATTTTAAGGGTTAGATCTGCCTTCAGGTATGGCTTGCTCTTTCTCAGAAGACAGCGCAGTTTGGTGGGAGGGAACTCAAGCTTTCATTCTCCCCTCTCTGTAGCAGCCCCTAAGCCAGGCTGCCTTGCCCTCAGTGTCTCCGGCACCCTTCACTCCCCACCTCCAATCCCCCCTCCCACAGTTTCTGTGCCTCAAGAACATCCGAACCTTCCTGTCCACTTGCTGTGAGAAGTTTGGCCTCAAGCGCAGCGAGCTCTTCGAGGCCTTCGACCTCTTCGATGTGCAGGATTTTGGAAAGGTGAGCTGAGCCCCCAAAGCTCAAAGACTGGGTTTCAATTTGTTTCATCAACATCTGGTCGGGGGAATGGGCTGTGCTGGGACCCGTGGATGAGCCACACCAGGCCACACACAGGTGCGATCTGCACTGGCCGGGGACTGGTGGAGCTGGGCTGGAGCCAGTTCCTGCTTCCGGCTTGCTGTGTGACTTCGGGTACGTCGCTGTGCCTCTCTGGTCCCTACATAGGCATAACATCATCCTGCCCTTTCTGAGTGGCCTCGAGGATTGAACAGGATGATGGGACCTTGGTGAGGCTCAGTCAAGGGATGGGAAGGCCAGAAGCACAAGGTCTAACCCAAGTCTAGCGCCGGGGCTCGGGTCCTGGGGTCGGGGGCTGTGCTGTGGCGAGCGGGTGGGGAAAGGGCTTGCTGAGCAGCGATGACCTTTGTCACAGGTCATCTACACGCTGTCCGCTCTGTCCTGGACCCCGATCGCCCAGAACAAGGGCATCATGTGAGTAACCCTCCGCCGCTCGGGACCGACCCCTCACTGCGGGCCCGCCTGCCTGGCTCACGCCACCCTCCCCCCAGGCCCTTCCCCACGGAGGAGGACGGCGTGGGTGACGAGGACATCTACAGTGGCCTGTCAGACCAGATCGAGTGAGTGTGCAGTCCAGAGCCCGGTGGCGGGGGGGGCGGGGGGGCTGTGAAGACACGGCCCGGTCCTGGGGCCTGTGGTCCCCCGCCTTGATCAAGAAGGGTCTGAGGGGCTCGGGGCTGCCTCGGGCCGTCCTGACTCTGCGTCCCACAGCGACACCGTGGAGGAGGACGAGGACCTGTACGACTGTGTGGAGAACGAGGAGGCGGAGGGCGATGAGATCTACGAGGACCTCATGCGCGCAGAGCCGGGGCCCACGCCGGTGAGGGCGGCGGCGGGCGTGGGGGTGGGGCGCAGGGCACGCGG